GCACGGTAATAGGGCAGACCACGGAAATATGTACACTTACCCCTACTCGTTACGTGGCGTCCGAACCAGGGAATTTTTAAAACTACTTGGTACATGTTTTTTTACATGTTTACCTATCTCTTGGTTTGAGAGTTAGGTTCGGCCATGATAAAGTAAAAATAATGGAACCAACATTAACAATAATTTAATCCACTAGAGCTATTCAGTAATGCTTTTCTGCCAACATTAGATTAATTTTAAATATGAAATAATAACAATCAGTTTATTAAGTTTTAGCGAAAAAAATGAAAGTGTAATGTGTGTGAATTGCCGTGTATAATTGATACCGAGAACATTAAATTTTTTAAATTGCCTTTTGCGATCGACAAAAAGGTGATGCATATGGTGTAATGTCGTCAATTGTGGCAATTATCAAGACGTCGAGTGTAGGTATAATGATGATGGTTCCGATGGAAGATAGCAAATCTAACGGTGCGATCAAGGTAAGTGAATAATTGGAAAGAAAGAAAAATCATCTCTAGTGTTTAATTACGTAACTGACAGGACATTTCGAGGGACCGAAGTGTTTAAAGGAGGTGTTTGCTCGTGGCTATTACATGGGATAGGTGTATACCTATCTGTGATAGTCGCACCATCATCCTGACGCGCGAACAATCGTACAATTCTTCGAGTGTGGGAAGAACAAAAAGAAAAAAACCCCGAGAATAATAACGAACAAAAGGCCATTTCGTTGACTAGGCGTGCCCATAGGATTATATATATTATGTACCTGTCTCGCGCTAGTAAAGAAGCCTCGAAAATGTTTTGAGGACGTCACGGGTATTAAAAGAATCGAGGCGCGTCGCGGTTGAACCGTAACGCTTGTTTACTAAACGTTATGATATGCATTGCACAGATAAACCAGGTAATTCTGGTATTAATATAAGTCATGGACTAGGAAAATTTAACGAATCATTGTACAAGAAAGACTATACTTCAGTACAATGCAAATTAGCGCGAATGGATTTGTTGTAACGTCACTTGGTGGTGGCCTTACAGATATAGCCTTCGCTCGTATTTTCTGCGTATACTGTACATAAACGTAAACGGGTTTTTCTACTTAGGTCTTTTTTCAATTACGATAAACATCTATTTACGCATTACACTTTAGGATAGGTGAATTTCCTTGCAGTGAAGTTGGAAATATTCGTATTAAATTACGCATAAATTAATTTATCTTTTAATGAAAAAGTTTAATTATAATTCGTATAAATCATACAATACTGTCGAAAAATTTTTATTTAACGCTAAATCAATATTCATTGATTAAAATTGTTAGGATGCAGCATTCGTGTAATGAAATTACGATTTCTTTCTGTTATAGGCAAAAAAACTAAAATGCTTTTGTACAACATAAATTCAAAAAATTGTCACTGAAATACAGATAGGGATTTTTTTTCTCGGACAAAACTTCCCCAAATGCAAACCACAACCTTCTAGTGTAAAGAGAAATCTTTATCAAATTTAAGCGCAATCGAACGAATCTTCAAACTCAAGTACAAATACACATAATACAACATTCTTTTTAAACATTATATCGGTATATTTCTATGTATTTTTACATGGGCAAACAATTTATTAATGTATAGTATCGAAAAAATGAAATTCAGTCGGGCAAAAAAAAAAGTCAACTTACTTAGTATACGCGCACAACAGACTTGCACTTGTTAACCAGTTGAAATCCAGTGAGCGTTTGACTGCAGTTGCGACACGCGTTTTCTTTATATATACATTTTGATGAATCTCGTGCGCGAATCCGAATTTGGTTGTTGTCATCGTCGTAAAAGTGTATCACTATATGGGTAAACAAAAAATTTATTTATTGCAATTAGTACGCTTCTGGAGAACACAGACACTCGGGCTCCTTATCAGTTGTTTTTGCACACCAGGTAAACATATGATATGTCTTGTTACAAAGTATACACATACACACTGTTTCCCAAATCCGGGCTTTGTTTAATTGCAATAATAAATAGTAACGACACTACATGGAGTTTCAATAACATGAGTTTTTCCCTCGAGTTATCTACTGCTCGCATTTGTTTCCTAAGGTATTCCAAACTATAGATATCCGCACGTCATCGGATTTCCCACTGTGTACTGTCCATATGTACGCAACTTGGGCCTGGCCGTTTTTTGTCTCACTCACGAGGAAATTGAAGGACGACTTTGTAATATTCATATGAGTAATTTTATGACAAAGTGACGCGCAATGTCAAGGGCTCGCGGGTAACGATGTGAGATTACGTGGAGCGCGTTATACTCGTTACGTGGCGTCCGAACCAGGGAATTTTAAAACTATACTTGGTATATGTTTTTTACATGTTTACCTATCTGTTGGTTTGAGAGTTAGGTTCGGCCATGATACGCACGTATCAAATTATCCCTTTGCCAAAGTAAAAATACATTTACAATAATTTAACCCACTTGATTGATGTTATTTTTCAACATTAAATTAATTTTTTAAATGAAATAATTTCAATCACTGTGTTAAGTTTTAGTTACAAATTTAATGAAATGACTTGAAATTTGGGTTTATTTACAAATAAATAGAGTTAAAGATAATGAAACTTTTTATAATTTATAATAAAATAATCATAAAATAGGATACAAAATTCAACTTTAT